AAAAGATAATACAATTAAAAATATAATACTAAATAATAAATATAATACTTAAAAATATATAATTAAGAATACTGACGAAAGAGAAAATATCTAACCAAAAATAATGACATAAAAGAGAAAATACAGAAACTAAAAGGATGCAATAAAAGACAGTAGTAATTTAAATTATAAACTTTTGTCGTACTCTTGACATTTAATAAATACCATTATTTCAAATTTATTTTAATTGTGTCGAGATGGTATCTGATTAAATAATCTTATAGAATAGCAAATTAACATGTTTCAATTATAAAAAATTTTTAACGCGTGCACGTATGTGGATGTAAACACACATACCTATATATATAATCTAATAACATATCTATAATAGATAAATAATTACAAATTAAGTACAAATTTAATTAAATATAAATTATAAAAAAAGAATTTACATGAAGAAATTTGTTCAAATTTAATTCAATGATTGTTTTTATTGTGTTTCATGTTCTATTTTTGTAAATTTCATGTAAATTTTTAAGAAATTTACGAGATTTAAATGATAAATGCACTAATAAGAAGATATTTATTAAATCTTTATTTTAATAAGTAGAGATAATATGAAAATATGTATAATATTTATTTTTGTTCGAATCTCAATATTTTCAAATAAAGAAATATCGATCGGTTATTTACTCTTATACTTGCTCGGGCGAACCGATAGCTATAATTCTGTGTAAGCATCATCGCTTTTCCACGGAGGAAATTTCATAAAGTTCGCATCCGTTCGTGCACGCGAAGGAATTTCCGTGAAGGACGATAACCGAAATTGCGTTTCTGATTCGTCGGGGATATCTCCAGAACATCGTTGCAGAGTAGTTTCGCCTGCCAGCACGCGCACGGATTAACTACTTGGGCAGAGGATGAAATGTCTTAGAGATTAATTTCATTTTTCTCTCTCTTCCCTCTTTTTGTCTGTCGCAGCAAATCGACATTTTCTCGTCGGAAAAGCCCGTGCTCTCGTCGTCGGTGAGTTCAAAGGCGACAGCGATGGCTTTTCTAAAATGATCTCTGCGAAACGCATCGCATTTCTCCGCTACGCTTAATTAACTTCAATTAATTTACGCCGCCCGGGGATTTCGCATCTCGCCAAGATTAAGAGCAGCGAGATTAACATACCGGCGGCCCGGCGATCCTGCGTTTATGTCTCGTGAGCAAATCTATGTATGAAACTTATGTTTGAAGAACTGGATTCTAAAAACGTATTTAGATAGGTTATTAAAAAATTGATAATATTCGTGAAATATTATAAAATTCGATTAACGTCAATCAATATTGATAATAATAATTATTCACAAAGCCAAAATTTATGCAATTTAAAGAAATAAATGAAAATTTTAGTTAAAAGAATGTGAATTAATTACATAATTGTAAAAATAAATAAAGCCACTTTTTACTAAAAGACGAAAACGTGATTTCCAATTAATTATAATTTATCGTAATTTATTGTGACTCTGATTTTTGGATGCCTTTTTTTTATCTTTTTTTTACTATGTCGTTTAAAAGAAACTTCGCACAAGAAATATATAATCTTTAACAAAGTTTTATATTTTCAATGACAGATTTTCAATTTAATTACGTAATCAGTAAAATAATTGGATCATCGTCGAATTCGTGATATCGTATCACGTGCGTCCCATGACGCGAACACGTGTGTATCGTAAGACAGCGATAGATCTCGAGTAAACCGATTACGAGAATATACCGTTAGAGCCGGATCGATTTTCTGGGTCGATACACTTTTTCCTCTCGGCTAAACCGGCCGTCTTACAAGCTCGTCCTCCGCGTCGATCTCGGTTCTTCATTTGCCGCTTCGTTGAAAATCCGCTTCTGAAAATACGGTCGGCGCGGAAATTACTAACAAGCGTTAGCGGACGATCGATAGATTCAACGAGCGTTTAATCTCACCTCGTGGTCCAAAACTGACGTGATGACCAAGTTTTTCACTACTTCTAAAAATAATAATTGGAAATATTTAATCGCATAAGCGATATTTAGTTTTAAACTAGGTTATATATTTATATATTATAGATTATATATATTTGAATTCCGAAAAATACACACACACACACACATATATATTTTTTTTTGTTGAGCTCTTGAAATGTTTAACTATACAGTTTAGATTATTTTTAAATGTTCTTATGGTGTGAATTCGAGCCTGGAATATGTATATATTAGGGGGATAATTAAGGGAAAAATTGGTATCCCGAACGTATGTTCGCGAGAGAGTCAGGAGTTGAATTTTGACTTGTGCCATTCTCGAAAAATTTCATCCAAGTCAAAAGCCATGCGTTTGTAAGTCGCGAGGGATATTGCTGCCGGGCATGCTCGATATAGAGTGCAAATCACACGTGCAATGAGTTGCGGCAATCGATTGTGTAGATGTAGAACATGCTCCAATTTACGTGAGAATTGCACGTGTAAGCCTAGTGGCCTTGCGGCAACTTACGGGTTGTCGAAAAAAAAACACGTTCACTTTTCTCATTAACATTCTTAATCTCTTAAATATTCTTTATAGAGATATACATTTAACTCTTTATAATTAATTTTTGCCTCGAAGCACGAAGAAGAGAAAAGCGCAGATATTTGAAGAAAATAAAATGTAAAAAAGTGTGCGATTTTCTTATATTTCATCTTAATTATTACGAGAATAATGATTTTTACGAGAATTTTCTAAAATTTCCAAGAAACTAAATGCCAAATATATAATTATTAAATAGTGACGTACGAATTATATTTTTTTCAATAAAATTAAAACAAGGATTATTACAAAAAAATATTTTTCGGAAACCGATGTAAATCAGCCGAAACACATGGCTCGTCGCGGCATGGTACGCTGCAAATATTATACATCTGTTTTATTTGCACATACGAGAATCGCCGGGCGTGAAAGGGGTGGAAAAATCAAACGCCAGACTTGCAACGCGTCGAGAAGAGAACGATCTTCGAAAGAAACGAGAGAAAAACGTATTCAAATCGTTATTTTTACCTTGTTGCAATCGGAGAAGAACTGGAGTCTCGCGTATGTCATATCTAGTGATCGTGCGAAAACTGTAATACGTGAGGCACTTGTGTTACATCGCGTATATACGGTGTTTCAATATCGAAAAATATTTCTACAATAGATTTTAGATAAGATAAATTTGGAATCAATCTTTACTTGATAATTTAACAAAAATGAAATTATCAGTTGAAGTGAAATTATCAAAAGAAATAGAATTTTTTATTTTTCTTTTCAGAAGAATTGAAAAAAGTTTGTTTTTAATGTATATTTGATTTTATTCTATTATTTTATTATTTTAAAAATATACATATGCGTCTTTTTGAAAGGAGATTATGCTTTATTGATATTTTATTAATACAATTTGAAAATTGAAAAATCTCACAAAGTTGCAGAAAATGTTTCTCTTTCTCATGGATATATGGACTGTCTGCATAATACAAAAGAGAGAAATCACTTTGCATAAATATTTGGCAAGAAATTCTCTTTTGTACATATTAGATTCTCTTCTATTTAGTTATACATATATATATAATTTAACGATTAAATTTCTCATATAGTTCAGTTCTTTGAGAATAAGAAATATATTTCTTGGAGAATAAGTAACATATTGATTCAGATCGAGTAAATTTTTTATTAAATTAGATATAATATTAATTACTAAATTTTATTAATTAATTATGAAACTTGCATAATTCTGAATAGCATCAATGTAACTCCCCAAATATTTTCCTAAAAAATTGATCAAGTTCGAGGACTTTATCAGAAATATCCGGCATTCCTGAATCACTCTGTATTGCGACGCAAAACACGTGCTTCATCGCGATGCGAGGAAAAACCGTGCGCGCAATTTCCCCGCAAAATTTTCCGACAAACTCGATAAGGCCGCGCTGAAAGATTCGAAAATTGATTTTTATTCCGCGTCGATGCATACGTAAATATGTGCGTAAAATATTTACGAGATCAGCCGATATGCGTAGCGTGCGTCGGCGAGATAAATAAATAAAAGCGCTGATGGGTATTGCGATGTTGTGTATCGCGTTACATACGTCGCGGTGTCTCCGTGATATTTTTATCAAGCGGTAATTCGCTAGGAATGCGACCGTCGAAATCTGAAATCGTATCGGACGATGCGACGCAGCGTGTGATAACGCGACGCGTGTTTATTTTTAGCGATCTGATGCGACCGCATTCTATTGTCATTTTCCATTCGCGCTCCATCGACGATGACGAATAACAGGAATATCGAGTACTCATTCGTTATCGAATGCATACGATATCTAGGATAATAAGTATCTTGTTTGCCACAAAAAAAAATAGAGAAACACAAAGGAAAACAAACATATTCGAAAATAACTCAGTAAATGAAAGTAACGAAACATTTATTTGTTAAAAATAAAAAAAAAATTATTTTTATAAAACGGACAAAATTGATGGATGAACAGTGAATAAAACATTTTCAGGATAATTTTACTAATAGGATCCATATATTTCATATATTGTTATCCATGTGTTTTTTAATAATAAAATTTTTTACACGCAAGTATTATATTATTTATATATTACAGAGAATTTTGTTACATGTGTAAACGATAGAATGGATTACAATAGTTATTCAAAGAAAGAGCGTGAGAGGAAATCGTGCGAGAGAAACGCGAGATAATGAAATCCAGGTGTAAAAGTCAATGCGGAAGTGGAAATCGCGGAAAACGGAATTAACGTGCTCCGAAAGATATCGCGGCTTGTTTCCGAGGTTAGTTTTCTCATCGAAGAGACAGTTGGACGGATGCTGCTGCTGCTGCTGATGATGCTGGTGGTGGTAGAGCTAGCGATGGTGATGGTGGTGGTGGTGGTCGGAGTTGCGTCGAGCCGTCGCCCGCGTAGGAGTGGCAGAGAGAGGGGGGAAAAAACCGGCCGAGCACGCGCATGCGTCAATCTTACCTCTGACGCTCTGATTCCCCTGGTCCGTTCAGTCTTGCACGAACCTTCGCGGACGTTGTGTTGCTCCCTCCATCGTGCAAAGTCGACTCTCGCGCCAAGTTTACGTTCATTCTTTCGTACCGTGCGCCTTCAGTTGGCGATCGCAGATATACATCCGTCCTCTAATGCGATTCCGAGAGAACGGAGGGAGTGTTTCGTATCGCGTGAGATAAAACAAACGTAAAGTGAGCGAGTTCTCGGACCACGTGGTATGTATCTCGCCGGAACAATCCAATTTCTCGCGTGCTTCTTCAACACGACGACGTTGGAAGTCACGAAGCATTCGGCGTGAACTTCGTTCGGAACTACTTCCCGAATCCTCGCGAAATATTTTACACGACGCTAGATCACTGATGTTAATCGGCGCAAAAAGATATACGTAATTCTATGACACTTAGAGATTATTTCCAGTCAAGTTCAAGCCCGCGTTAGAGATTACGTCGTGACTTAATCCCCGAATCCGCTCGCGTATATAATGTGCACAGTGTATAGGTTGAAGTGGCAGCGCGGTGATTGATATATCCGATGCGGTAAGACTCGCGAACGATAAATAATACAGTGCATGTGTGTGTGTATTGAAATCAGTGTGTGAGAGAACATATATCCAAGGGTAGAAGACTCGCGCAAGAAAGAGATTTTCGTGTTTCCTTTTTGCGCCAGCTGTCAGAGCCCGCGTCTTGTTTCTTCGCGCGCGGTCCGACAAGTGCAAGTCCTCTACTACTTACGTCGTGGACCACGTTCTCGTCGTTCGCCTCGTACCTGCCTTGCCCGCCCGTGCTCGACCGTCCTGCAACCCCTGCCAACTCGTGCCGCCACCCCGTCCTGTCCGCCCCCCGCGAGAAGTCGACGCGGGATCGATATTTACGAGGTAAGATGGCTCGTCGTCTCTCTCTACTATACGATTTTTGGTCGCTCTCGCCGTTAGAATTCTGATTTATATTTTTGGCGTTCAGAATTTTTTCAAAATGATGTTTTATAGAGAGTTTTAACTTAATTTTATGTTAAATTGCGATTATTTGTGTCGAAGAATTTTCTAAGTGCATTTCGCGCAAATTGAAGTCTTCACGTGGATAATGTTGAATCGAATCGCATATTTTACGTTGAATTCGAATGTAAATATTGTGGAAATTTTTACCTTTCTTATTCACAAGGAATATATGTGACACATTGTAAACAAAATGTGTATGACATGAAGCATTCAAAATTCTTGTGATAATTTTTCATATTTTTAGATAACATAGTATTTGTTTATTCCTTTTTGAATCTTTTATTAGACACCTTTATATAATATAATGGCGAAGAAAAAATGAGATTCCTTACAATTTTATTTAATTCTATCTCTTTATATGTCTATATGTGAAGACTTAAATATGCAGAAGAATAGATCTATCGCGTAAACAAACATTTCGAAATTCGGTCAATTCTTCGTTTATTTTTTCTAACAATAAATGTTCACAATAATTGATTGCGGCGACTGATTTGTCGATTTATTTTAATCACTTTTAATTCTAGAACGCCAAACTTTTTCGATTATCAATACATATTTGAAAAAGATATTTTTTTGTTAATGATATTAAACGATAGTAAAAGATAAAAATATTTCGTATATTTATAATTTAGAGATTTACAGCGTTATTATTCTGCATTTATACGAAAATTACATATGCGACAATCGACTGCTTTTTAAATTTAATAATAAATAATATGCGAATTTAAAATAACAATTGACAGATATTTTAAATTAATGCGAATAATTAATAAGCATGCGGAATCAAATAAAATAATTATGTATATGAAATCAGGTTAAATTGACAGATATACAAACATGATTACATTTTAATATAGAAAGCGTTAATATTATCAATTTAAAAAAATCCACTACTAAAAATATTAAAGACTATCCTCTCATTTCAATTTTTATTCTTGATATTTTTTTATATTTATATTTTTTCTGCCTATTTTCTTTATTTGGATATTAAATCTTTACGATTTTCGTCGCGTCAAATAGCGCGAAAAATTGTTTGGTTACAAAGAGGTGGCACTGGCTGAAAATGCAAATACGTAAATAAAGAGTGTTACGTAATTTCATCGTGTTCTTAAGCAAAGTCGACTCTCTCGGGAATACGTTTCGTGCGGTAAATATATCTACTAATGCAAAAGCGTATCGATGCGAAAGAACGCGCGCAGTAACCATGCTCTTTTGGCAGCGGTTTACGCAGAGTTTACGTATTTGATCGTAAAGACGCATAAACAATTCTAGAATCTAACCAGAAACTGCCAGCCGCGAATAAAAGATTTGCGTGCCGAACCAATGAATCCGTTCATGAATCCAATCTCTCAGCAATGGAAGCCGTGCGAATCGAGAGATGAAATTATTCGTTTTATTTATGAAAGGGGAAATTCGCAATTAATACGAATATTTGTACACACGTTGCGTAATATTGAAGTATTAATAATCGCTAATAACATTATATTATATCATTAAGTTGGATTTAATTCTTTAAAATTTGCCTTTTTAAAAGATCGAGAAAATTAATTTTTGAAGTTGAAAAAATCGAATTCAAATTTGTTTGGTTTGATTTCAGATGGATTTGGAAATTGAAGAATATTATTTTTGCATTAGATTTTTTCGATTTTAAAAAAAGAAAGCAAATTAAATCATTATCATACGAAAGTTTTCAATTAGTAATAACTTTTGTGATAATAACTTTTTCGATATATTTCTATATACATGCATATTTCCGCAAGAATTTTTTTGATAACTTAAAAATTAAAAAGAAAGTTTCTGTGACTAAAAAATTAATGGATATTATCTTTAATTAATTTAATGTGAAACGATATAACGACTTAAGCAATATCTGCTAATACGAAGCGGTTCAATTATCGAAGAAAGATAAGCTTTAATTTCAAGTATATTAAAGACAATACTTAATATATTTTCCATACGCACATTTGGAATCTAATCAACGCGAGTTATTAGCGTTTCTCGGGTCAGTAACGAGCAGTTTCTACCATTTCACGAGGTGTAATGCAGGTAATTACTTGACCAGGGAGTGCATCAGCTTGGGTTGTTAGTCGCATTCCCGACATTCCGACATCAGTATGCAACGTGTGCACGCGCGGTAATATAATGTATATGTCTTGTCGCCGACTGATCTGTCTTGATCCATCGAGAGTTAGCTCGCTGACGCTTCTCTCGAAGTCTTACTTAAAATTCACCATACTCTTCTCTTCAAAGTTTTCAGACAAATATGCACTTTTAGCGTTTTCTAAAAAAGATTGTATTTATAGTCATTCGTCGAAGAGCAAGATAATTCTTTATCTCTAATGTACACAAAAGATTTCAAGTAAGAAATCCTTGTTTCTTAAGAAAACTGGTTATAAATACGATCCTAATTTCGAAATCGTTGAGGCTTTTACGTGAAAGTTATTGGAAACAATTCCTTTTAATTAGGCTCGTTTTGAAAGAAAATGTGCGAGTCGGGACACCCTACGCGTACGCGGAAGAAGTGATCGTTAATGTGTTTACTCTGAAAGCAGGTTTAAGGTTCGCGTTTTTTTTTCTCTCTTTTACTTGCGTAACATTATAGGGAGCTTTCTGGAGTTACTTACTTGTGAAGGGTAAAGTGCATGGAAATGAAAACTACTTCTAAAGGAGCGATTTTTCAACGTCCTTCAGACTTGTTTTATATGACCGGATATTTTTATGTCAAATCATACTGAAGTTTGTACAAGAATCATGAAACGTCGTTTAAAAAATAACAAGGGAAATATTTTCGGCATCAAGGGAAAAAGCGAATATTAATACCAACTAATTATATATAAAATAAATTTATTATAAACAGAATTTTTTAATAGAAATTCCGCGAGATATTTTTATCAAATTTATATATATTCATATATTGTACAAAATATTTATAATTCATATATTGTACAAAAAATGATAATTATAATTTTTTAATTTATCTAATGATATTTAAAATGCAGCCCTCCCATTTTTCCCTTTCTTGATTGTATAGCGATTTTTCCCCTTGATTGTGTACATCCCAGAAGTTTGCCAACGCTCAGCCCTTCCTTCCAGTGAAATGTCACGTGACTGAAATGTCAGTAGCGTTCTTGATGCCATTGAGGGTGGATGGGAACAGCCTTGGGAACAGCCGGGTCTCGCTTATTCGGAGTTTTGTTGTCGAAGGGAATGAATACAAGCTATAATTTCAATATAGTATGTCATCGGCTTGATATTTTATTAGTTTATTATTCTCGATACCAGGAAAGTTTAGATTAATGGCATTTAATAGTTATTGAATTGTTAACTTTCATTTAATGGCTAATTAATTGTTAATCTCCTGCTCGGAATTATTGGCAGAAAATTAATATCAAAGTTGGAAGTGTTTATTTGCACTTTACACGCTAATACGGTTTGGAAAAACGTTGAACGATTGTAAATATTAAAAGATTAGAATTAATTAGAATTAACTGCTCTAAGTGATTTTAATTGCACGGTGACACAGAATATCATTATTGCATAAAGAGAGTAAAGTAACTAAAATAAGAGAAGTTTAACATTAAAAGATTTCTTGTAATAATTGCTCCTGAAATAACTCAATTTCGAATTTATTTTATTTGCGAAATAAATTAAAAAAGGAAAAACATGTATACACGAATATGATTCTGCGAAATAAAATAGTCTATAGAAAAGAAGTTCGTTTCTCAATTGACTTTATTACGATTATTTAGTCGTATGTCACACAGAAATATATTGATATGCGTACACTGACATACGAAGAAGTTGCCAGTTTCGTGTATATACACTATGTTTCAGTTGCTATGTCCATCACCTGTAGCAATTACGAATGCCTTCGCGAAATTTCGCATATTTCGTACAGTGTGTCCCGAGCAAAAGCGGCCACCTTCTTCTCGCGGCGTCCGAATAATTTCGCAACTGCCAGCCTAACCGTCGCGAGAGCGCTTATTCTCGGCTACCAGTCGAGCTGGCATTTCTCGCGCTCCGCCGTTAGATCTGTCCGCAGTTAATAATGGCACGACCGTTTGATTTAACGGCGTCATTAGGGACCGCGCCACCCTCTGTGTCGCCGAGCCGCGCTTCCTTCGGCGGGTCTTAAGGACCGCGACTCCATCGTCCACGGCTATTAGCTCTCGTCGCTCTCTTCGAGTAATTGGCTATATTAAATTTAATAATCCCCTGGCCGCGCGCGCCGACCGAGCCTAACCGCTTCCTAGTTCGCGCCCTGGTAATCGGTTAGGCAGGCAGCGCGATATTCCGAGTAAACGAGAATATTTCACGGTGAGCGATTGAAATTCTCCCCTCGTATCTCGAGCGACGACTAAAAAGCCAAATCTGGAGAAGCTTAAGAGATTATACGCGCATCCTTTTTAAAGAGATATAACGTCTGCATGCTCTCTCTGTATCCTTTAAATGATGTAAATACGCGCGTAACCACATTTGTCATGTTCAAATTTTTAACGTGGAAATATAATTTGAAATGCGTTGAAAAAAAGAGGTAAAAAGTACACAGAATACGCAAACATGTGTAATATTTACAAAGGTATCATCTCGTGAAAAAATGCGTTTATTCTCGAATAAGTCCTGGAAAATTTGAGTTAATTTTTAAAAATAAATTTATATAACACGATATAAACGGACACAATCACAGAATACTCTCTTTTTCCGAAATATAAATTTCATTAATAAAGTATCGCGTATAATATATTGCATATATGAAAATACGATAAAAAAAATAATTAGCTGCGATTTAAGATTAATTTCCCAAAAATTCGATATCAAACAATATCGTGCGATAGAACCTAATGGACACCGAACGGGAGAGAGTATTTGCAATTTATATC